TGTTCAAGAGAAGCCAGACTTTTGTGAAAGAAAATCCTGAATATATTCAGTATAAGTGTCACACATTCTATAATATTCAACAATATCACCGGCAATGGAAGCTGACCTTTATATGGCTTATGTTTCTCCTCTCTCCATCCTCATTACCATACGAATTACATTTTTTAAAATGAAACATTTTCATCACATACCTTATTTTAGACACAGTGATGTCATTGCATGGTCTATATGCTTTTCTATGCAAGTCAGGCAGATCATGGCTGGTGGGAGGGGCCAGCAGGGTGCTATACATAGCTTCCTTAAAACATCACAGCCCCTTCTCCAACTGTCTCCTTGTTTTTTTCTCTGTGAAGGTAAGGTTTTGCTTTTTAAGGAATGTTTACTGGTTTGGGATATTTTGACTCTATTATGGTCAAAACTAAACAAAAAGGATCTGAACCCCCAAAATCAATCTTTAGATGTGCGGACCGCATTAACTGTCTTTTTTCTTTACTTTTAACTGATGATCCTGCCAGCAACACACTTCCTGTTCTAGAATGACAACACTGCCAACTGTACTGTGCCAATGGAGGAGCAGAATTGTCACTCTATAACAGGACTACAGAACAGTTGCCCTTTTCTACTTCTCCAAGGGAGAGGTGCTTTGTAGTTCACAGCACTGGGAAGGACCTGGAAACAATACTAACTGATAAGAGCACAGAAATCAGTTCACAAGACTTCTGGCAGCATCAATGGGTATTTTTTTTTTCTAGTTTTGGACAGATTGAGGATTAGTGAATTTTTTTTTTTATACCTGCGTCCCATTACAAAGACCCCCCTTTGCTTCTTGTCTCTGAGATATGACAACAAGTGAGTGGCAATCTCTCCACAGTGAAAGAAAACCCCCTCTTAGGCTACAATCACACACTGTGTGCTGGGATTCCTGGCAGGTTCAGATGCACCCGCTGTGCCCTGATAGGGACCACATCTGTCAGCGGCTGTCCACATGTAATTGTTCACAGAATGCTTACCTGTGGATTGGGATAGATAATTGTCCCTGGATGCAAGCCGTCTACTTCTGTACGGACATGCCGGGGATTCCTCACACAAGAATCCATAGGTTCTTCCCGCAGGAATCCCCAGCAGCAGCTTTAAGCCTCGTGTGAAGGGAGCCTTAGACAGTCATCACCAGATGTCACCATTAGAAGGTTCTTCCTCTCCAACTGTTCTGGATAACATCTGTAGCATGTTGGATTTCCCATCACTGTCTGCCCTGATGACAATGGTCCACCAGACAAATAGAGAGGGTCAATTACTCCAGTCAGGACACAGGCAGTATTACAAGCCCGACAGGGGTTCAATACTTTCCATGCTCCCGCCAAAGCTACAGATACATTTTTACACTGATATATTCATAACCTTCCACATATTCACAGCGCAGCACAGCAGCCCATACTGGACCCTAGGCTGCGGATCCACTCCAGTTCTCGTAAGGCAGGGTTGGACCTTAAAAAAAAAAAGATTTACAAAAATAAAAAGATTTTTGGAGTGTGTATGTGTGTGTGGTAATGTCAGTATGTGTGTGAGATTGTGTCTGTGGTTTTGTATGTATGTCAGTGTTTTTGAGGGCCCGTTCACACTAGTACAGTGCATTAATCACATAGTACCGATCGGTTAACACACTCTATTACGCAATCGCACCTACTGTGCATTCTGGTGTAGGAGGTGTGTTGCGTTGCCATTCATTTCAATGGTACCCCAAACACACCTCCCACCCACAGCTCGTACACCCGCACCGGAACGCGTGGTTCTCTAATTCCGTGCAGTCCATTGCAGTGCGACTTGGATCACGATTTAATGACCAAGGACAAATGTGGGTCCCGAGGTTACACAGGTTGAGAACCACTGTCTTAGAGGCTTTTTACAGAGGAAACACAAGGAGACCCATTAGTTCTTTAACTGTAGATCACCTTTTGGAGCCAATGGTAGTGTTATCAGGGCCGGATTTACTCTCTCTGCCGCCCCAAAGCCGGGCCTCGGTTGGCCTTGTAGGAAATCCGGCCCTGGGTGTTATCCTGCATTGGGTATCACTGACCGACAAAAGGCTTTTGCTACACCAGGTCTGTGTTTCTGCTTCTGTGTTTCTAGTGACGTTTCTTCCTGCTCACATCTTTTATTCTGTATTGTTTGAGCAGACTCTGCACCTGGACCTCTTCTACTTGCTGTCTATGATCACACACACCATGAAATATATCATTTACTGTTATAGAAAACTTTGTTTTTCTAAAGCTTTAAAGTGTATTTCTCCATTTGCAGTCAAATTTGGGAAACCCCCACAATATCTTTGTTATTTCTTCCCATTCGCACAGCATACCTAAAATATTTTTGTTCCCATTTTAACTGTTTCTCTGGAGCAGGTTTTTACACAAAACTCTATAGGCAGATTCTTCCAATAGATGGTAATGTGCACATAAGGGACAGACAGGGACAGTTTTTTTAAGTGTATTAGCACCCAATGTACCACCCACGCCTTGAGACCTTTAAAGAAGAACTCCGGGGAAAATTATCATTACCCTTGCAGTGGGGATTCCCCCCCCAACTGCATGGGTTAAGTGCTCGTTTGTGTCTAGGGAGGAAAATACCAAAGTTAAACTTACCTGATCCTTGGAGACGACTTGCTCTTAGAGCAGTCCTTCCAATGTCTCTACCCCTCCTATGCAGCAGTCTAAGGTCCCGTAAATCATCATATTCTATACACTGTGTATAGGACGTGAGGGACATTCCATTACTACAGCATAGGAGGCAGGAGGGAGTGTTTTCATAGCCAGCAGGCCCAGAGGATCAGGTGAGTATATCTTTGTTATTTTCCTCTATAGACCAAAATGAGCAGTTAACCCTTGCAGTGTTATACAGTAATGATCTGACAACCTTCAGGCATCTGTGCTATCTGCCGGCTGTCCACAGATATTAACTATTGGAACACTATCACAAAAACATGAAGTTAGTAATTGTTACTAATAGGGATGAGTGAATCAGAGAGTCTTCGCTTCACCAAACTTTTGATAAAAAAGCTCACCCCCGGCCTTAGCAAAAACTTTAAGTGTAGCTGTGTCAAACTCCTGGGCCCATGGGTCAAAACACAGGCCATCGGAAAGGTAAGTATATTACCTGGTGTACAAGTAATACAAATCGGGTCACTTTAACTCTTCTGTAAGATAAAGAGGAACACAGCAGTTTGTTCCCAAAGGGATAAAACAATACACTAAAGCAACAAAGTATTTCTTCCAATACAGTTTGACACCCTGTGTGTTTTATGGACTGCTGTGATGGCCCTGCTGTACCACCTCTAGACTATGAGCATGGGATGTGACCAAACACCGATCTGATTGTAAATCAGGTGATGGGAGGACCCTATAAATCAGGAAATCTTATTTTCCGACAGTGATTGCGTCAGATGGCATCAGGTGGAGGGGTGGCCAAACCTATGACAGATCGCCCTAGGCATGTTCTACATTTCACCGAGCAGTGGAAAAAGGACGGTGAGGAAATGTGTCTTGGGACTTGAGTAAAGATGTTGTGTTAGTTATGGAGAACCATTAATAACATAGAGTTGTACAACAATGAAGCGTGGGCTCTGAATGCGGACATGTTATGGAAACTCATTTCTAAACACAGGACATTTCAAATGATTCTGTTATACAAAAAAAAACCTTGTTTATACATCATTTGATGTTTTAAGAACAGTAGATAGGATATATTTTGCAATGAGACATTGTTTAGTTGTGTGATCTTTATAAAACAAGAACTCCGATATTTTATAAAACATACTATATATCTATATATAGATATATATATATCTCTCTCATGGCAATTGTCATTTAAAGACGAACTCCAGGAATTACAAAACTAACCCTTGCAGGGGGGCTACCCCTGCACTGCCAGGGTTAGGTACTCATTTTGGTCTAGGAGCTCAAATAAAGAAGATATACTCACCTGATCCTCCGTCCTGCGGACGTCAATGCTCACCTCTTTTCTCTCCACTCAAGCTGTGGAATGACCCTCAGCGTCCTCAGTCAATGGACCTGCATTAGACGTGGCGTGATTAGACCATCGGAGCCCATGGGGAGAAGAGGCTACGGGGATTGGTCTAGCATCCAGATGGGACCATGGATCAGGTGAGTATATAGGCTTTATTTGAGCCCCTAGACCAAATCAAGCACTTAACCCTAGCAGTGTGCGGGTAGCTCCCCTGCAAGGGTTTGTTTTGTAATTCCTGGAGTTCTTCTTTAACTGACAATTGCCATGAGAGAGATATATAGATTGCAATGGCAAAAGTCAATCAAAGTAGGCTATTTGCATGGCTTCTAAACAATGAGTCACCGACTAAAACAAGTATGCAGCCAAGAAAAGTCAGAATTCATTATCGCTATACTTCTATCTGGTCAAGGATGTTGAAAATATTGAAGCCAAAGCATCAACATAATAGACAGGCAAGTAGTATTTTCAGAAGGAAAGATCTACAGTACAATGGGAGCCTGAATATTTCTCTTATGACAGGTCTGCTTTAAAGTAGCTGCAAACTCTAACTCAAGGCTAGGCAAACTCTAGCCCTCCAGCTGTGGTGAAACTACAAATCTCGTCATGCATCTGCAAGGGCTGTCAGAGACCTGCTATGCCTAATGGGATTTGTAGTCACACCACAGCTGGAAAGCAGGAGCTTGCCGATCCATGCTTTAACACACATAGTGTAACATAAAAATGTTTTCCAAAAATATGGCTTCCCCTTTTTTCAGATACATTTAAAGATAGAGTATGCACAACAAACATGTATATTTATTTAAAACCTTGACTGCAAAGAGAATATTGGTGCATGGGAGTATGGATAGTACATGATTACTAGCCATCCATTGAAGTAGCAGTTCTTCCACCATGCAGTGATTCCCAAGCCTTAGTTTGGCTTCTCTTTAAATAAGGAAATTACTCATATGACAAAACTGAGGGGAAGTCCTGGAGGGAATATAAACATACTTTTTACTCTAATCTGCCCCTAACACATACATGCACAGGAAAAACTCTTATGAACAAGTCTAGATAAATATTAATTGCCTTATCCCATTTATCAAATCCACCCTATACTCGCAAACTCAAAATAATTTAACCCCCAGTTTATTTTTTGTGTCCATTCTGCATTGCGTCAGTTGGATGTTGCATGAAATAGCTGTTTTTTCATCATGAACGCACATAGAATGGATTTGTCCTTCAGTTTCAACCAACCAGTTCTTACTGTGTAGATTCCTTTTCAGAAGGGACCTTTCCCACCATATCCTTTGCCTCTTCTTCAGCTTTAGAAGATGATTCTGGTGCTGGAATATCACCAGAATGTATGTCACTTTCAGACTTCTCAACAGTTGTAGGGTCTTTAGACATAGGTGCACTAGCAAGGTCATTTGGTAAAATCTCCCCTGCCACCTCTTTTGCTGGTTCTTCTTCTGTTTTTGCTTCCTGTTGACTGTTTTCAGCAGAAGTACCTCCTTTCTCGTGTCTTGCAAAGAGAAATTCCCACGTGTTTGCACAGTTTACTGACTCTTTCTTAAGGCTTTTGGCCTCTGCTGGAAACCATGGTGCCATGCAGTTATGTATCTGTTCTGCCACTTCCCCATGCATGCTCTTTAATTTTTCTTGGTATTCTCCTTGAAGATCTTTCTGAGTCTATTTAGAAAACACAATAATAATCACTAATATTGTCTGTTATATAAATACAGTCAAAGTTACTAAAAGTGACATTTAAAGTGGAAAAAAGTGGAAGAAAGCTAGAAGTTTGTGAAACATTTTGAAACAGATGAATTTGTGGGTATATAGTGCTTTGCAAAACAGGTGAATGATTCATTGGCTAATATGTAGTGAATTTTGGGTGAAACTGAGCTTAAACCCTTTAGAACTAGCCCCGGAGCAGTGAGTATTTATTTAAAATATATCTAAAGCCAACACTTATTGTCCCTATTTTGGAGGTTTAAAACTGCTGTCAGTTTCTTCCCCCATGTCCCATTAAGGAGATTTCCCTTTACTCCACTTGATATATTATAGGAGACCCACCAGTGGGATTTATATACCATTAACATTATTGTGATTAGAACCCCCCTTCCTTGTGTGTATTTGTATTTCCCTTTACTTCCCATCTTGTAGACTCAACGTGAGATAACAGAAAATCTTTCTATTGTGAGGGAAATCTCCTCATAGACAGTTTAAGGCTGGCCATACACTAATAGAAATTTTCATTCAGCCTGCGTAATGAGAAAAAAAAATCAGATAAATAGCATGAACAAATCTCATTCTGCCAGCTATTGCATTCCGCCTCCACTACTCCAGCGGTTGCAGAATACCATATCAGTGCCTACATCCAATCAGATGTTCATTTGATACTTTTTGGACTGGCTCCTTCAACAAAAGTTGATTGAAAACTGAGGGGTGCCAAAAGTGCCACTCACAGCCAGATTTTTGGCTGCTTATCAGGAACCGGCCAAAGTTTGCTCTGTGTATGGCCAGCTTAATTCTGATCTGATTTTATAAATGGCTCTTCCAGTATCCTTAGCAATTTTGATGTCAAACGAGAGCTGTTAGATACCAATAGCAGCAGCTTTTTGTGGACCCTTTAGAGCGTGTTGCAGTCAACCCCACCCAATAAAAAGAGCTGAGAGGTGCGAGGTAAGAGTGCTGAAATGTTTTATTATACTTTAGCAGACACTGCCTTGATGCCAATTGTTCATTCTATATCCATATTTCCAGGTGGCACGATTTTTCAATACAACAACCAACATATAATTGAATGAAATAATAAAGATGAAAAACTTGACAAAACTCAGATGTCTATTTTGCATACTTCACCTGCTGCACATTATAGCATTGGCATGTGTGAAACCTACCCGATTGTTATCTTCTCATGCATCGGTGTAAGTGTGTTATGAATATAGCTTCATCATAGGACTATCAATGGATTATAAATGGTTTTTGGTTCTGGTAGCTACAAAATAAACCAGACCAGGATGCGTTTTGCTTTAAACCATCCCTAGATGGTTGCACGACTATTTATCATAGTACTGTAATAAGAGTCTCTGGCTTTCCAAATCCTGTTTAATACTGATACACCAGCTATTAGACGGCTCCGGGCTATTACTGGCCATCCTGCTTTAATGAGTTTTAATGATGCTGGACCTGTGCCCTGTCAAAAAATGCTATAACTGGAATGCTTAATGGGATTCATGGTGGCCTTTGTGTTGTTTCAATCTGGTTTGTGATCTCTCATTGTGGTCACCTCTAACTCACAGGCAGAAGATTGAAATATCATCTGTTTATCACTCTAAGAGGAAAGCAGAAGCTTTAAATGGACTTTAAGTCAGAAGGTCAGCATGACAGTCAGGCAACCAGCATTTTTAGAAGAAAAGTCACCAATGGCAGTCCCCTTCTTTCTAATAATAGAATATTAATTTATAGCGCCACTCTCAGAGTTCTTTTTAAGACTCAAGACTCTTTGTTATTAAAGAGATTATTTCATGTTAGAGCAACAAAATAGATTTGAGATTACATGGCACATAATCTTTGGCAGGCACTGAGTCATACCCTGATCATTTCCATGAAATCCAGGTGTCACTAGCAGATTGCATTCTGATATCTCTATAAATAAAAAGCCTTCATCATAATAGGATGTGTCACAGCCTTCCGCATATTTATGATCCCCCTCAATGCTTTAAGAGAGGGGAAAATTATTCATATAAATCATACAAGGGTTGACATAGGAAACCTTTTGCTGGAAACAAGTATAATCACACAGGAAACTAACATTCAAGGTCAAATTAACAGTTTCACTGCCAATAGGGTTTCAGCAAGTCAATTCAGTTCATCAAAATCTTGCGTTGTGATCATCAATAACGCATTAACAAACCAGAACAAACACAACAATTTATTTATCCAAAATGTCATAAAGTTTTAGGTCCTCAGTCCTGATTCTGCTGAATACTGCATGGTGTGAGAGATCACCTGTTTTGCTGTTATATTATACATGCTACCATCATTTGACACTTGCTTGTAAAATCAGCTGATGATCTCTAAGATTTTGCTGCTTATATAGAAGCAGAATTTGATCAGACTAGCAAATGTGTGCTCGTTCATGGACCGAGTAAAGTTTGGCTTTAGTTTCTCTGTAACCTTATTATGACTGTTTGGAAGTTTCTATCTATGAAACGTTAAATATAATATTTGCAATTTATTTTATTGTCATTTGGGAGTATCTTATTTTAGTGTATTCTTTAAAATCAGTACAATTTTTTCAATTACTTATATTCTCAAAGTGATCATTTTTGGAGGTATTACTATGGTACCAAATTCCTGTGGTCATCATAAATATTGACCTGGATATCATGATACTGGCTGTAACATCACATCAATACGACTTAAGAATTCTTCTTATTAAATAATAATTCTTATTAAATAAGTAACATTATCTGTGGCGTCACAATGGCTGCTTTGCTATTACAGTATTGACTAATTTACAGTATTGAGTAATTTATCACATTGCCTGCATTTCCATGATAATTTTGACTGTGACATCAGAATGATGACTGGCATCACATGTGATATCATAACTGCTAGTATGGCATCAATACATTGACTGTGCCATCAAAAAAACTTCCTGTGACATCTTGGTACTTACAATTCTATCATATATTTCACTTTTACATTTGCCCCTCTGATATCACCTGCAGTCCTTTTAAAGTAAAAAAGCAAAAAGCGAAAAAATAAAAAATGAAATGCTGAGGGTTTGTAACAGCAACTACCAGCATGGTCTGCTAAGACATATAGGGGTTGATTTACTAACCTTATAAACACACCACGAACGTGTATACACCTCTGCAGTGTGTTCCCTCCCAGCATGATCTATGGGTGGAATCTAAACACCTTTGTAATGTGTACACACCCAGCAGGTGTGTTGTGCAAAGCCCTGAAGGAATTCCAAGGTGATGTTGTGTAAATTAGCTCTATGTTGTGTTGCTTGCGTTGATGAATGCAAGGAATGTAAATGCATGAGCTAACCATTTTTGTCTAAACTGTGAAGCAGCATTATATATGCATCATGTGCATGATTTTTCCATATATGGCATTAGTGGAAATATGCTTTTAGAGACTTTTTGGTTGATAAATACGTTTTGCTGTCTGAAAATCACACACACCCGGTGTGTGTGTGTGTTTAGGTTAGTAAATCACCCCCATAGGGTCAAAAAATAAAAATAAAGAACACACATTTCTAAAACACGGCAATGTGCTTCACAAATGTGCTCTGCACTCCAGTGACTACAGGACTCTGAAGACAGCGAGCCAAAATAAAGATAAATTAAGTCTTGTTAAAAAAACAGGAGGAAAGCCTGGTAATTTGACCTATTAAAGTCACATGACTGGCTTTCCTCCAATCACTGAGCTGTCTGTCTTACATTAAAGTGACAATAAAGTCTCCATTATTTTTACATACAGGTGAAACTCGAATAATTAGAATATCATTCAAAAGTAATTGCAGTAAGTGCTGCAAAAGGGGCCCAAACCAAGTACTGAGTACATATGCATGCTTGTACTTTTCAGAGGTCCGATATTGTTCTATGTACAATCCTTGTTTTATTGATTGCATGTAATAATCTACTTTTTTGAGGTTGTGGATTTGGGGTTCTTGGGGTTTTCATGAGCTGTAAGCCATAATCATCACAATTATGACAAATCACGGCTTGAATTATCTTGCTTTGCATGTAATGAGTCTATCTCATATATTAGTTTCACCTTTTAAGTTGCATTAGTGAAATAAATGAACTTTGCACGATATTCTAATTATTCGAGTTTCACCTGTATATCTACTGCTAGCAAGCAGTAGATATATGCAAAAACATGAAAAAAAATTCAAAAGTTACCAAATAAGTAAAAACTTACCTCTGTCTCCGTCAGTCGCTCCCGACTGTAGAACTGTTGCTTCTCGAGCAGCCATGCAAGGGGTGTGTGGGCGCATGCGCAGTGGATATCACTGGCGGGGAGAGAAGGAGAGCTACAGTGAAAGTCAATGCACGCAGTCGGGAGCGTGCAAACTGGACAGATTTCATGGGACAGGAGGAAACAGCAGTCTGTGCTGGATCAGAGACTGGCACCAGCGCTGAATTGACTGCTGAAAACTACTGGAAGGAACAAGATGATCGGATCAAGAAGGATCGGATCATTTAAGGTAAGTCCTTACAGCAGCATTGTCACTTTAAGTAGAGAGCACTCCATGTGGATTTGCTGGCTATGCAGCCTACATTTTACAAATGGGCCATGAAATGCTTGCCACAATGTGTGAAGTGGAGCAGTGTAAAATGGAGAATAGATAGTGTTATCCACTCTTATAAATCAATCCCACGATCTACCAAACAAAATGATAGTAAAAATGTGACTGGTTGCTGTAAGTAACAAAAACACCTTGATATACAAGTACATTTTCACAGACCTTTACTGAAAATTACAACACATTTAGGGCCACATAGTGCAATGATCAGCAGTTGTGTATATGATATAATTGATGGTTCTGCTATGAAGACTAGAAATCTCTATGGATACTTTTAAATGTTACATGCTAGTTACCTGTTCTCCTTTCTCTCTGATTTTCTGGAGACCCTCATTCTGTTTTTCTTCTAGTTTCTGTTGATGGTTGCTCCATTTATCAGATATCTAAACAAATGATATAGAGTTGTGAGAGGTTGTGTGGATATAAATGCTGGGGTAGTTTCATGACACACATTAGAACTGAAGAAGTGGCTTAGAAGAGCTATAAAATGTCTTCAAATTTACAGAACAAGTTCAGCTCATTGTGACTAACTACTGCTAGCTATACCATGACCTGGACAAAGAAGAACCATCACAGACATAACTGTAATTTTATCCTACGTATAGAGGAGTTCTGGACTGACAAAAAAGGATAATAGTGATTGAGGGCAAGAGCAAGTTTGAGCTCTCTTTCTCCCTTCAATATCAATATAGTTTTCATTGTAATGGGGAAACTCCTTCATTTTCCTCACATCTACAATTTTATACAACGTGTGAAATGATGACCAAAGCTTTCATCAGGCATTGTCAAGTTTGAAAAACAGTACTGCAGGCCTTAGAAATTTTGGATTTGGCTCATATATACTGGATGGAGTTAGAAGAAGACAACAATTGTGTACATTAGATAGTAAAACTCACCATTTGCAAGACCTGCACCACCTCCTGGATGTGTGAGTTGTTTATTTCCTTTTTTAACCTGAAAAAAAACCCACAAAAATTATATATTTGCCAAGTTTAAAATTACCTCTGTTCAAACTCTCCATAACATGAGCTAATCCATTCTAATCAAACTTTATTTCTAGGATTTACACTATGTTGGTAACTTTATCCTTTCAGTTATATAGTAATAGTAAGGCTTTACACAATGTTTAATTTTACACCCAAATTTAGCGTGTAACATGAAGCATGAAAATATAAATATATATAGTTAAATATATATAAATTAGATAATAAGACAAATCACATGAAGCATCGTTGCATACATAATCACCCAAAATGCCTTCTCTCCCCGTTACCTGAATCAGGAAGGGCTTCTTCTAGCAGAAACCTGTTACCTGTTGAATTTGGTGTTTCTGTGCATGACTCTGTCCACGCAGCACCCATGTTAACCAGTCACTGGGATCCCCCCCCAGTGAATTACTACATGTTCCATCTGCCCCATGGCAGGGGGACCATGCAGACCTGCACCAGTGATTCCTCCTCCATCCCCCCCTTGTAGTACAGCTAGCTCTTGGCCAGGTTTGTACCTCCATATAGAACGAGGACTGGGGAAAAACATTGTAAGAGCCTGCTTTCCCCAACATCCCATTTTAGATTGAGAGATGTTCAGGAACAATAAGGCACAATATTACCTCTCCTGAGCAGCTTTGTCCATTGTATTCTTACTCATTGCGTCAAGCCTCTCCAGCCGCTTCATTTCCAACTTCTTCTTCATCAGTTTAGTGTCACTGTGAAAAGACATATCAATGGCATGTTTGCATTTTTCCACATCCACTGCTGCAATGTTTCATAGCAGCATTCTCCATGCCTGGGCTCCTCACATATAAATCACACTGGGATATTGTCCTATATTTGGGGTTTTGCTGCAGTACTTTCCATCAAAAAGGGAAACATTCTCTCATATTTGTGCATTTATTTCTCAAAATTTACCACAAGCATTATTTTTCCTTTGAAATTGAATGCATTGCATTACCAAAGGTCCATGGCTCTTTAATTTGATTTACTGTCATGTAAATTAGACTATAATACCTTCATCTAGCTCATACACTGTATATTACTTCAGATACTTGTCATAAACAAAAATAAACCACATCTGCAATTTATTTTTACTTCCAGCTAAGATAACTATTTAATGGTTTTGCTAATTGTTGTCAATGTGCAAACAGAACTCCCCTGAGTAACATTTTTTTGTGACTATCCTGTAACATTCATTCACAAAATACAGATGTATAATAATAGGAATAATGTAATTTATGTTGAGCTTGAATTTACCAAAAGGGAATGCACAACAGCAGGGAGAAATTGTAGAGCATACACCTGTTTAATGCATACATCACAGTCCCAAATTGTAGAGTGGATAAAACATACAAATAATGCTGCTTATGTGCCTTATAGTCCCTTAAACAGAACTATTTTTTTTAACCTGCTAACTAGCAAATAGTTAACTGTGATGAGATGTATGCCCCCCCCTGGACTACTGCACTTTCTTGACTATTCACAGTTTCATTGATGTTGGCAAATACAGTTCCTCGAGGCCCCAATTAGGCGACCGCCTAATATGCTTGAATACAGAGTCACCAGTGCCTCTGCCCAAAAAAATGCGGTGCCATATATTCTGAATGGCACCTTGAGATGGGCATGCAGTGTGGTTCACTTACACTTTTGACTTCAGATGGCCACACCATTTTTGCAATTTTTCAATTTTTTCTTTTAATTTTTAACTGCCACATTTATAGTTCATAAAAGACCCCCCAAACCATACATTTTCTGAAAGCACGGGACCAGTAGAATAAAAAGATGGTGCTACTAATTTTGTAGGTCCTGCGACAATTGCGCAAATGTTTATCAAAACAATATTAAATCGATAAAAATACACAATTAAATAACTAAAAACACACTAAAATTAGCATCAGTGCACACAAAAAAAAACATAATTTACAAGATTCTGAATTGAATCTGTATTGAGTTAATAAATAACAAATATTTGTAAATGTAAAATTGCGCTTTTTTACGAAGCGGCAAGAAAAGGAAGGAACACTGTCAATAGGAAACTTATGCTAACAATCTGTGTTGTGGTAATGTCTGATTTGCAGTGCCATTTGTGTGAGATGGAATAAAATGAAGCAGGCATACATTGTACGATACATACATTGTACAATAATGTTTAGCTAAGGTTGCCTGTGCTCCAGGAAACTTATTGCTATGACTGATGTACTGATGTACATGCAAATGGAAATGTGTTAAAGTTAAATCTACAGGAATTGCCAGAAACACAGCTTGGACTAGATAAGGTGTATACATAGGACTTTCATGAACAATCCCCCGGTACTGATAAATGCTGACATAGCCCAAGCACGGTGTTAGAGGCAAAAATGTCATACAAAAGCGCCAGAGACAATCATTCCTCAAAGGGATGTGGTAATATGCATGTATGCAGGACGCAGCCCCACTTCAGTCAGGGAGACTGGGACATCTGGAAGGAAGCACAAAGAGACGGGCGCCTTTTCTGGTGCTAGAGGCATGTGAGTGTTGGGACATACTCTTTGCTGCCTCCAATGTAGTTAATCACCCAACAATCTGGTGAACACACAATCATCTGGCTGGTTCATGTCCACAAAAGCAATCTACAAAGAAAAAACAATGCAGTCCAGCTAAATTGGTAAGCCTGTCAACCATAAAGGTTGTTTTCCACACATTTTCCATTATGGGGTGACTAGTTACTACAAACTGTGCTCCTGCAGTGTCATCCTCACATGAGCCCCTGATGGAGATAACATTCAAGTGTGCCAACACATTTAGCAGATATTGGCCACCAATATCACTCTCAGGAAGCTGGCCCAAGGCATTGATGTGTAGCGTACACTAAAGTGAGTGCAAGTGGACAGGAAGTGGCTAAAAGAAGTTGGCCCTGAGATGCAACATTAGGATGTAAAACAGTATTTTATATAAAATAATGACAGTTGTTTATGGTACACATTGCATTACCAAGCTAAATGTCAGCCAGCCAAGGTTTATATCAATGTTAAGTGCATTTGAGCTTATTTAGTTTTATTTGACCAATATGAACATTCTGCTATCAAACTTTAAGATTTTAAAGTGCAAAACATATAGAACTGGGAATATCTTATGCCATGCTATGGCCCCACTCTCAAAAAAAATAAATGGTCATAATACAAATAATGATTTTAAGTATTTCATTCTTTCTTGACATTATAGGGCTGTTTGCCAGCATGCCCAGACAGTCACTGTAAATCTTCTGGACTGGAACATACCTGTCTGTAGATTCTTTCAGGACTTTTAGTTCTGTTGCCTGTCTCTCCTGGGCTAGCTCTAACAACTTGCTGAATTGCTGTTAAAAGGTTAAAACAAAGTATATCAATGCATGGTATTAGGCAGCTAAATCTATGAGGAGAAAGGAAACTAATAGAAAAATGACAATTCCAATTCTTGAAATATGCTTTGCAGGGGTATGGGGAAAAGAACCACAACAATCAAAACTGTTGGCTGGAAAGTTTAACAATTGCTTTAATCTTTCAAGAAGTTTGCTGAGATTTCTACCTTTGAGGTCCCTGGCCAAAACAGTTGCTGTAGCTAGTATGAGGGTTGGATTTCTGTGGGTTTTTTTTTTCAATATCATTGGATTTCAAATCAATCTAATATTATGGAAAATGTGGCCAGGAAGACCTTGAGCATTCCAAAGCTGGTAGAAATATTGATGTTATTTTTTTAGTTGAACTGAACTCCTAAAGAATAATTCTATCCAGCCTTGAAAATGTTGTATTTGGGTTACTAGGTGGTACATCATCAGCGAAATAATTCACAAGCTGGTAAGCTTCTGATGAGAGATCCAATATTGGTGGCCCTGAACTGTCCTGCCAGCCTTCTATGGAGATAATTCTAACTCAGCTAGAACAGGGAATATAAACCACACACATTGATTTGCCTTTTTACTGAATAAAAAATAATCGAGGGTTATTGCAGGCTAGCAACTGACTTAGGATTTTAACCAGATAATGATCTCTCATGAGAAGCTATAAAGGCAGGTATTAACAGACATTAAGATTAAATCCTGTCTGTGTTGAAAAGTATGTGCATATTATCTAAAGAAATTCAAAGTTGTAATTTCTCTACATACTTCTGCAGAATGTTGCTCCCTCTTTTTCCAAATGCTCTCAAAAAACTCCTCAGAAGCACGTGTCAGTTCCTGCTCCATCTTCTCCTTCAGCTCCACTATTTTTGGATCTGGTTTTCCAGGGATTTCTCCAGCACCCCATATGGAACAATAGTCATCCTCCAGACTTCTAAAATATTAACAAAATTGCTATCTATGGATTTTAGGAAACAATATTTCCACGACTATGGCCTATTTTAAAGGAACTATAGAGTGAACATGTGCCCATGCACACTATAGTCTTTACATGTCCTGAACAAGCAGTAAACGTACATTAAACAAGCCCTCATTCACCTCTACAGCCATATTGTGGAGACATTTCAAGTTCACAAAAGAGGCACTGAAATCACCTCCTTTCCCCCTATTTTCTGGCACTTTAAATTTCTCTAAAAATTCCAAAAACCATAAATGAACTCAAAGCAGAGACTCTATGGAATTAAATAATGGTTCTACAAACTTGTAGTTTTAAAAGTTTTAAAATAAATAAATCCATACCCTTATTGCAAATTACACAGCCTGTAGTCTATACATATCAACACAAAAACCCCTAAATATAAAAGAATAACAGTGGTCAAGTACATAATTAATGGGAATACCTACAATTTTGGTACATCATTTATTTCGTTTTTTAATTGTGGTTAAGACTAAAAAATACAAAAAAATAAACAAAGTAATACTAAAAAAAAGTATTTTTACTTATAAAAATTACACTCACTAATTACACTGAGAAAGCTGCTCTTCAAGTGCAAAAAGTGGGGGTGGCCTGTCATTTTGACAGCTTGATCCTGCAGGAGATGGCTGAGGTGATGCAGAGCCAGGAGAGGCTTCTACCCCAGCTGCAATCCTCCCCCACATCACTGCACCCAAAGCAAGTACCTCTCCTGCCTCTAAATTGACCTGGTCCTGAGCCTTGGATTTTACTTTTTTTATGAACACTATTTCAGCATTTCTAAAGCAATGGGCACAACAATCATGACAAGCATATGTACATACTTTTTTTTCTGACACTTTCGGTTGGGTTTCTTGTTGAGCTGTGTGTTCAAATCACTAAAGGCGCTGGAGTATTTCTGGAGAATCTCTTCTCTGTGTTTCTGTACCTTCCGTTCTAGTTCTTTCAGCTCCTTCTTGTGTTTCTTCTGAAGCTTCAAGAAGCTCTTCTGTTTCTGCAGTTCATCTTGGTTTGTGGTTTCTGGTTCTAGAAGATAGGCGCAAACCTTAGTTCTCACATGACTTGTACAATTACTGCTTAATGAATGAGTACATTTGGAGGTATCCCATGCAGTAAATAAAAAGACAAAACAAAAAGCATAATAATATATAGAATATCCATGGATCAGAAATAGCTTTGGTTCATTACTAAAATATATGGGACTGTGCAAAGTGTACATGGCAACAAATCAGCTTCCATCTTTTCATCATCAGACTAAAGTTATTTAAAATTTGACTGGTTGGCTTGAATTAAGCCATCACGGTGTGCTTATCCTTATAAAATGGTTTTGATATATAATATACATTTTAATGGTCAGAAGAGTGCTGGAGAGTCATAGGGATGGGGCATAGAAAACTAGGGACAACAGCGAGGTGGAAAACTCAAGGATTACCAGAAGCCAGAGCAGACAGGAAACCAGCATGGATTCATTACAGAACAACACTGAACCAAGTGAAAAAAAAACCATTGTGACAAAGTATCTCTGAATTCTGAGTTGTTATCTTAGAATTCTGACTTATCTCAGAGTAGTCTGAAGATAACTCATAATTTTACAATACTATTGTCAATGGTGGTTTTCCCTAACCGAATGAAAATACAGTACTGACTTTCAGAAAAATTGATATAGCTGTTACAGCAGCACTAGAGGTAGTATGTGGCACCAGAGGGTGCCCAATACGAGGCTGTGGGGTCACTTTACTTTGTGCAACCCCACGATAAGCTTACATTAATTACTATCAGGGATATATCAGACTGGATACAGGATAGGAGTCAGAGTGAGAGACAGAGGTAGGACATATGGGGCATTAAATAGAGATTGTGATATTGTCTGGAGTTTCACTTTGATTAGCATTGATTTGTATCAGTGACATAAAACATAAAAATTCAACATTTATATATTTCTTTCATTTGAATTCTGACATGAATAGCACATATGCATACTAATGTATTTTATCTGCTGTTGATGTATTTATAACTGATAATATATTAGCAGCAATTACTCTACCATCATCTCAATGACAAATGTAATATTATTACTGATTGTTTTTATTACATGGGTGACTTGGCACCTACATCCCCTTTTTTTTTGTTTAGATATCTTTTTTTTGCACTGGAGATGGCTGCAGATGACAACATAGTCAGTTCTTTTGAGCACTGAAATTTATGGAGATTGGTGAATGTGTCATTCAATTTTTCTTTTTTTTTATTAATTGTAATGTATTTCAAAGTTACCTGCTGCTTCTTTCACAGCATCTGCTTTTCCAGTTCCCAAAGACCCTAAAATATATACAGAGTATTTGTTAATAATCAATTTATTCATTTTTATGTTTTAGTAAACATTAACCCCTTCATGACTGAGGCCTTTTTTTCATTTTTTGCACCCATGTTATATTCCTTAAAACACCCAAACATTATATATTGTCTGAATGCCAAGGCCCTATAGAATAAAATGGTGGTAGTTGCACGGCCCCTTCTACGGGACACAGAAGCGATCTGGTGACAGGTAAGTCGCCAGAATCGCTTCTGTTGTAAAGCCGACAGTCGGCTTTACAAGTTTAAACAGACTATTACCGCCGGGAGTCTGTTTAAACAGCCCTGATGCTGGCGACGTACACTGTACATCGTCAAAGGGGTTAATAACTGGTGGTGGAAAAAGAATTAAGAGGAAGTGAGGTGGTGAAGTGCTGGACCCTTATGAAGGTGAAAATTCCAAATTGGCATAGCAGTTCTGTCTTAAGACGCCAAACTTCACAAAGGGACCTGACTCTGCCCTCGGAGCAAATTTTCCAAGTTTGAAGGGGAGCACTGAAACAAACCATTCCTCCATCTAAAACAGAACTATATAATTGGAGTAGGGAGACCAAGATGAAAACCTTATCAGCTTGACTACATAACACATTAGACAAGTACAGTGAAATATGAAAGCTTTGGGACCTCTACATCACCAACTGATTTTGCCTTTACTATGATGGTCTGAATTTTAACCCCTCCTCCTTCCCAAGCCTATTCTCTCTACACCCTCCCCTCTACACTGTTATGTTCTCTTTGTATGATTAACTTTTTCAGGTACAGATTCAGAGCAACTGAAAATAATTCAACAAGTTCCAACTACCAGATTAAACCCCCTCAATCCTCTTTGTCCCGAACCTTGGCCACATGTTGGGGAGCAACAGAGGAGAGGGAAACCAACTTTTTAAGCCATGGATATGACAGAACCCTAGCTCCCTGGAGCTCTGGTTGATGCCCTCAGAATTAAAATGGGCTTTTATTTTAATGCTTTTGGGCATGAGACCATATGTTAATTCCTCCCCTCTCTGGCTTTCCCAGCCAGTGCCAATATAATTAAAGTTTAAACATTTGCATGCTCTGCGTACTGTACATTTCAGTGTTGCATTCTAAATCTTATGCACCTGCACCTTGATTTATGCATCATATAAAATTTCAATAAAAATGACATAAAAAATAAGGTTGCCCTAATAAAGGGGGCCTCCTGGAACCCCCAAATGTGTCAACTGTTTTTTAAATGACTACTGTGTGAAGGGATAAGGATCCAAAATGGAACTAATGTGTGGTCAGCAGAGGTACACTTTAAATAAAAAGGTGCTTCCAAACATATTCTTCAGAAAGGCCAATGTTTATTGTTTACAAGTTAAAGCACACCATTAATGCATTTCATGGTTCTTTGGTGGCCACTTAGTCAGTAAAAGGTGTACAGTACACATTATGGGCAGGATCTGTGTGCATTGCTTTAGACCAGACTATACCAAAACTGCTGATGGTTCAAAGAAATAAGGACCAAACATAACAAAATGCATTCAAAGATGATTATATTTAGCTGAGAGCCAAACCTTGTCATCTGCAAAAAATTAGGTGCAGAGTAGACCTATAACTATCAACCCAATTTTTGTAAAAAAAAAAGACTGCTGAAGGGCTGTCTGCACAAACTCAGCCGTGAAAACAGATACTCGCTATTACCATTACAGTCTAGACTCTTCCACATGTGGGATGTAATTGGTGCCACAACAGTAGACTAGTTGTCCAAGTCCAGAAACCTTTGAATGAACTTAAGTCCCAGTGAAGGTGGCCAGTTCAGGACAGTTCAGGTTTTGTCAGGATCTGTACACAGACCTTGAACTGAGATAATATAGCCTAGGAAAGAGATTTGGTAGTGCTCAAAGAGACATCTTTCCAGTTTGTTATTGAGCATATTGCCAGGAGGACATTCTGTTGGAGACACTTTATCGCCATCTTAACATGCTCACAATGAGACTAGAAGATCACTTGAAAATGTTTTCGGTATTTTCGAAATAAACAATGACATACACATGTGACAAGTCCGGGAAGAATAGCAATACAGATGAAGGGAATCACCAGCACTCACAGGATGCAAAATTCTTGTTCATTTTTATTGAATGTGCATCACATGTGTCAATCAAACCAACAGCTTCTTCAGGGCGACAAAGTGACCACTATCGAGCACTGCTATTCAGAAAGAGAAAGGTCTACATAGTTGTATGGGGTCCAAATGACAAACCACAACACAGGAAGAATAGCATTCACAAAATTCTGAAAGACTGCAAGGGTGTTACGCAAACAAAAGGGCATGACAAGATATTTGTAGTGTCATCTCGAGTGCTAAAACCTGTTTTCCATTCGTCACCCTTCTTGATGCAAATAAGATTGGTTGTAAGAACGGTGTAAATTCAATTTAGTAAAAAAATGCAGCCCCCAGTAGTGGAATGAACAGTTCTGAAATCAATGACAGAGGGTGCTTGCTATTTATGGTAATTTTATTTTGTTCTCCGTAATCAATGCAAGGGTGAAGAGAGACCTCTTTCTTGCTGGTGGAAAATAAACCTACTGCAGCAGGAGAAGCTGACTTTCTAATGAAATGTCTCTACAAGTTCTCTTTGATATACTTGTATATTGCCCCAGTCTCAGGCAATTAGAAGTAATACACACAATCCTGAAAAAGGTGGTTTCAGGAAGCAGCTCAAAGGCACAGTTATATGGAAAGTGAGGTGGTAACATCTCAGCTTGTTACTTGTTAAAACATGTCTGACAAGTCACATTATTGATGTAGAAATCCTGGTGATGGAGTAGTTATAGCGATACTTCAGGGGATGAGTGAAAAAAGCCTTTGGGATACAGTATTGAATGCAGGTGGCGCTCCAGGCCAGTATATCCCCAGAACTCCAGTTAACTAATACTGCTAGAGTCATCAACCAGAAGGACTTTGGCATTACCAGAAGTGAAATTGTCTCTGTGTGAATCATCCAAGTCTTCAAAAAACAGGAATGGCGGTATACTTGATGTCGCCATAAATTATAGTCCCATCAACCACCAAAATTGTTTGACTAGTGGTGCGATCGGGATCTTATGCTTATTAACCAAGGACAGGTATATAATATTTCTGTCAGTAGCAGTCCAATAAGGCTTGAGCCCAGAAACTGGTGTTGTCATGGCAGATCTAATCAGAAAGTGGGACTATAGAGGAGGAAGAGGAAATAGGACCATCTCCTGTTGCTCTAGGCATTAGAGCTTGGGGTCTTCTGAGAAGAGGCGCCAGCTTTCTTCAGAGGGCAGGAGCTAGCAAAATACAGTATACTTTCTCTGTATAGTACAGACAAACATCAGTGTCAGAGTGTGCTGACAATTGGGGGCCAGGTAAAAGGATTGCCAAGTCAGCTATTGCTCCCTAGTCCTCTCCTGAAACCGAATATTGACCTTAATGCAGTGGTGGTTCAGGTCATCCATGGAATTCTAAGATCACAGCCAGCTAACTCAACCTTGATGCACTCAGATAAGCCTTTCCAGAACACTACCGAGACCTCGTTGTTGCAGTCCAATTCCAAAGCCAGGGAAGGGAAATGTACTCCATACTCTTCAGCAGTCTTGGATCCTTTTTGCAGCTGGAGAATCTCCAGAAGCCGAATAATAAGTGCAGCTGGATAATATGATAAAGAACTTCAGTCCTATGAGAAGGATAGTTCACAGCTAGCAATCTGAACTTGATCTGACATTGATTCAAAAGCAATGGTAGATGTGCAGGTTCCTGGAGTAAGGAGCATAGGATTGCTCCTGTAATGATCAGTCTGCGTTTGGCATAGGTACTGATCCGGGAGTATGCGTTGGGCCTAAGGCTTATATAGCCAGCTGTATAGTTGTTACAGGAGCCAACATCTGAGCAAGTTGCTGCGGAGATTCGTAAATCTTGACCAACTTTGTCATATTCTTTTGTACCCGAAAAAAAAATCTTGCTGGAAAACATCAGTGGACTCCATGGCCTGAGCAACTTGTCATATACTGAGCTTGGAGGTAGACCCCCTGTGTCTACCATGGATGGCGAAGGCTTGCCAAGGGAACCAAGGAAAGTCTGGTGCCTTAACAGAGCACCACTCAAGGAGAATTTGGCTTGTGAGGCAGCCTCCCAAAGGAAATGAACATTAGGATTGCCCCATTGGAGACAGTTGAGATGCCCCATTGGAGACAGTTGAGAGTGAGAATGAACTGAAGGCGAAGCATGAAGTCATCAGGCAGATTTATAGTTGGAGGTAGGCCAGAGGTCAGGGCTGGCAGCAGTCAGACGTAGTCAGTAGACACAAACAATGTAGGGTCATAACCTGGAAATCAGTCAGCAGGATGGCAGGAATCAAGAATGAGGACACCGGGAGCAGAGTATCGGACACAGGATGCAGCAGCAGGGTACTGGAAACAGGAACAGGATTCAGAGTAAACACCAGGTCTCAGGAACATTAGGAACCTACTGTAGTTTAAGGGGGACCCCAACACCCGTAACGAAAATAAAAAAGTGGGGTCCCCCTAAAATTCCAAACAATTTTTTTAATCCTTAATCCGAAGTCAATCAAGGGTGTTGTTCATCGTGATTGACACTGGATTACATTGCTGGACAATGTGATTGACCATGGATTACATTGTTGGCCGATTTTTTTTTTTACAATAAAGGAATTGTGAAAAAATGTGTTTGTGTTTTTTGTTTAATTAAATGATTTTTTTCTAAGGTGTGGTCTGTTTTTTTTACTTTTGACTTAACCCTTTGGTGAATGAGTAGGGGTAACAAGGTAACAACTACCCCTTACACATTGACAAGGGGGGAGGGGATAGCATCTGTGTGGTAACCAGATGCAAATAAGCCCCCCCCTGCCCACAGAGCCCCCACAACCACCATGCCAGGGTTGTGGGGAAGAGGCCCTTGTCCTCATTGGCATGGGGACAAGGTGCGTTTGCAGTGGGTCCACCCTGGAAAAGCACCCTCCTAATGCTGAGGGCATGTGGCCTTGTATGGTACAGGGAGGGGGGGGCACTCACTTGTCCCCCTTTCCTGCTCTGCCAGGCCAGTGCTCAGATTAAGGATCTGTTTTTTACCCCTGGTTTTTGGGCTTTGGGGTCCCCCTGAAAATTCCTACCAGACCTAAATAGTCTGGTATGACTTTTGGGGGAACCACACACTGTTTTGTTTGTTTTTTATTCTATTCTCTATCAACTAGTTGGGAGTCGGTCCACTTTGGTGGACTGTTCTTCCCGCATCAGCTGTGTCTTTGGCTGCGCCAAGCCGAGCATATGCGTTCGGCTCGGCTGTGTGCTTCAACTGCCTTCGGCTGCTGTATGGGCTATTGTGAATATTGTGCAACTGAAGCGAGCCGGAGGATTAGCCGAATGTTTGACCACATCCTTCAGCTCTTTAGTGAATAACCCCCATAGTCCAGTTTACCCTTTTCAATGCAATTTAAATTCTACAGGGGATTCCCCCTCCCACAGCACCCATGTTTCTGCATCATGGATTTTATATTCCACGACCACAACATCCCCACCACTTTTTTAAGCTTTTGTTCTGTACTTTATACACCCCCTTTAGTGTGGAAGGCAGTAGGAACACTACAAGCAATGTATTATTTAAAAAACGTACCTCCACTCTACAAGGATTAAAGTATTATTAAACTTTTAAACTTTTTTAAATAATGAATCCAGATCAAACAAATATACATTGCCCAGCAAAGCACTGCATTACATTTTTGCCCAAACACTTACAATTACCATGTTTCTGAACAGCTGCTTCCACGTCTCTCAGCTCACCTTCCCTGAACTTCCTGTCCAGTACAAGATCACAAAGGACAGTGCAGACTCCAGCAACTGTCCATCTACTAGCTAGGAGACTTGGGGGCTAAAATAAAGCAGACATACTCAGCTGATCCACAGTTCAGTGGCCGTCAGCACTCACCTCTCTCCCCCCTCTGCTGTCTATGGACTCTCTCAATGTATTATTCAAGTCAATGGACCTTTATGAGATGTGATGAAGTCAGCAGTCCTTAGACCACTGGAGTCCAGTGAAGAAGAAGCTACGTGGGAACAAAATAGCATCTCGGCAGTACCGAGGATCAGGCAGGTATATCTGCTTTATTTTAGCTCCCTAGGTAAAATGAGCCCTTAACCCTTGTGTTCGGAGTTCCAGCCCAAAAGCCTAAAAAATGCGCATTGATACAGTAAAACATTCAAAAATACTTTAAAATGCTTAAGTCTGAGAAAAGCCGAAAAACACTGACGCTGAGGTGTGAATAGAGCCTACATGTGTGATTCAAATGTGACTAAGGATAAATAAAGATGCCAATGGAAAAAATTTAAAAAGGTTTAAACAGGAAATTCATTTACAGGATTAAGGGCCCATTCACTCCTTTTTCTGACACACCACACCACAATGGTGTACATTGTGGTATGTTGCAACATATGCTGCATTGCCTTAAAAGAGGACTATGGGGTAAGTGTTTTTCCCCATAGTTCTCTTAAGGGTCACTGGAGGACAAATACTAGCTTCCTCTCGTGACCCAAAGCTCAATATATCGCGAGCTACAGCTCGTGGTATACAGAGACCGCAGCAGCCGGGACGGATCCCGACAATGCTGTCGAGATGCATCCAGCTGCGTGAATGACAGCTGGCGCTCTGCCTATCTAGAGTCAAAGCCAGCTGTACCCTCCCCCCCTGCGCTGGATTATCGGAGGCAGGGGGAGGATCCCTGCAGGGAGCCGTGACTGACAGTCACCGCTCTCTGTAGAGACCTGATGGAGAAGTGAGCGAGCGACGGTATGTGTTCGCTCACTTCCTGATCTATTGAGCCGACGTGTGACAGTTTCATTGTATTGGGGTGCCATTTAAAATAAAATGGCACCACATTGTGGAGCAAAGTGTGGGTCTTCTCTCCTTCTCCATTTACAGAATGCCTTGTATTCTTAAAAAAAAATGCAACATTTTCTGATGGTGACGAGATACTCGCATTATGCGCAGGGGGCAGCATGCTACAAGGTAAGATCTTTATACTTTGCAGCTGCCTTCTTCACATAACACCAAGCTTTTTAATAATAGTTTACACACCCAGTGCAATGTGTAAATTATCATACTTCCCGGAGTGTGGCTTCAATTAATAAGCAGAACAATGATATGCGGTGATTCACAGCAGCAAATCAGAGATTAGCTCTCAGCTGTATAATGAATGTTGATACATTTTGGGCTCAAGAGTTTAGAATGAGATAATGTATATAAAATGGTTTACCTTGAGGACCATTCTGTGTTACTTTAACAGATGGTTTGCCAGAACCACCAATGCCATTTGATTGAGGACTGTTGGATTTCTGTGTGACAAAAAAACAGGAAGCAATGTGACTGCTACATTGACTACGCCAGAACACAGTGATACATCTAAGAGCACATTATAGTAAACAGAATGTCGTTAACGTTGTCTGTAGTCCAGAAAGTTTCCATTTAGGAGTTATGTTTTCCATACGCAGGTTCATGTTTTATATGACCTTTCTCTACTAATTGTTTCGAGTTCGTGTAGCAAAGCTCTGGGTAGTGTGGACCAGCATGAAGAGCAGTTTGGGCTGCCACACCAGGAACTGGCAGGAAGACTGTGAATTAAAGCATATCTAAACCCAAATACGAAAATGTAATGTAGTGCAGCATAACAACCCTTAGATTTGATGGCTGCAATAGTTTTTATTTTTAAGCTTTTTTCATTTATTTTCACCTGGTGATTTGGCTAGTAACACACTTCCTGTCTTAGGGTGGTTCCATTGTGGAGGAGCAAGGGAGCCACCTTGGGACAGCAGTATTGTTACCCTGTACTGTACCCTGTACTAGTAGATCTAACTAACAAATTCAATCTGAACTCCAGGTGACACTTTTTAAGCACTTACTGCAACAGTTTTTTTTATTCCTTTTAACGATAAAGGTTTTACAAATTAATACAGGCTAATCATTATAAGCTCCCCTGTCATTGTTAAATGATTTGTCTCCAATGATTTGTCTCAAAGTGGAAAAATAACAGACTTACTGGCCAAATGACCTGATGAAAATAAAGGAAAAAAAGACTAAAAAAAACTATTGCAGCCATCACATCTAAAGATTGGCAAGCTGCAATATAGTTTTCTTTTTTATATTTGGGTTTAGATACATGTTAATGTATTTGTGTTAGATCATCCCTTAGAAAGACTAGCATTATATTGTTTATTTGCTGCGGGTAGGGGCAGGGCCGGTGCTAGGATTCTAGTCAAGGTGGGCAAGGTGCAATTTTGCGCCCCCCCCCCATCCTGACCCCCAAAATGTCAGTCAAAGTACCGCAGCGCTGAATACTGAAAAATGGCCTGGATGGGAAGGGGGTTTAACATCGCGGATGTCAACTGGTTAACCTCACTCGGGTGGTGAGCTGGTGTACTCCTACAGTTTAGCCCTGGGTTACTATAAAACAATTGTTCTCCCACGACCCCCCAGGACGGCCTTCCTTGGCTTCTAACTGCACAGACTAAGAGCTCATCCGACGATTGGTCCAAACCTTGCCTATGGCCAGGAATTCTCCACATCCCTCTCCCTTGACACCTGTAATTGGTGATCGAGACTTCCCTGCTGGTATGGACAATAGACATCTCAGACGTCTTAAGGCATGGTCAATTTAGATTGTTACATTTTTTGGCCCCCTCAGCATGGCTGGCACAATCAGAATTGCAAAATATTTTCGATCCACCTCTTGATGTCTGGTCAACGTTCCAACTTCGCCATTTTTGCACGCTATACTTGGTAGGGATAGCTTTAAGTATCTAGGCCTCATACTGCATTTAAAAGTTTTTGTTCTGCGAATTCGTCCACATCACATCTCTTATGCCTAGTATATATACTTCTGGTGACCCCTACAGAGGATTTTGTCCCCCTTATTTTAGCAAATGGAAACAGGAGTTGGGTGTGTCCCTTACTGCTTTGCAGAAGAACAGAGCCATTTTGCTTGCACATACCTCTTCCATAGCCATTAAAATACAGGAACAGCATTTTTAAATACTTAGTAGATGGTGTTATGTTCCAACTTTACTTCATCAGATATATCCCGCCATGCCCACGAAATGCACTGCACACAAAGCAGGTGTATTGCCATGCATTGTGGTAATTTGTGTTAAAAAAGAAACACTAAGCCAAACCTTTTTTTGGCTTTACTTCTCTTTTAGGTCACTAGAGTACATTTAACAATGTACTCCTGTAACCCAAAGTCAGCAGATAGCGGGCTACTGCCCTTTATCTGCTGACAGCGCAGAGCCATGTCGCAGCTGGGAGGAAGTCCGACAATATTGTTGGGATCCACCTGGCTGCCTGATTGACAGTTGGTTCTGCCACTCTAAAGCCAGAGCCAACTATGCATGCCCGCTACCCTGGGGAAAGTGCTGGAGGAACAGAGAGGGGGGGGGGGGGATCCCTGCATGGAGCTGTGACAGATCATGGTATATCCGTAAAAAAAAATCAAGGCAACTGGATTTGCTGTATTTTTCTTGAAGATGTTTTGCTGGTCATCCGACTAGCTTTCTCAATTCAGAATTGAGAAAGCTAGTCGGATGACCAGTGAAACATCTTCAAGAAAAATACAGCAAGTCCAGTTGTCTTGATTTATTTTTTACAGGTATACAAGCATAATGCCAAACATACTAAAAAATATATTTTGTGTTTATGTACAAAATAGGAACAAAAATACAACACATTTTAATTATATTAGGGTGTCAGGTGCTTTTAATTTACTATTGTATATCTATTGATTATTTATCCTCCTAATTGTACTCTTACCTCATCAATGGAGGATCCTTTGTTGTTCATCTTTATTGATGATTTCTCATGTGCTTTGAAAGCTTTTATAGGATTGGACAGAGCATGAGTGAGATCTGCAAACAAATGTACAAAACGAATGTTGGTTAATTTTGGAATGTCTCTGACCCAAAGTCCATACTAGCCCAATGAAGGTACCATATGAATACTGTACAATGCAGACAATATCCCATTTTGAATTACAAGGCCATACAGAGAACATGACAAAGTAAAACTTGAAAAAAAAAATGGTGGTACATTGGTAATGGTAATACCTGCCCATGTATCCGGTATGTAGTCTTTCACCTCCACGTACACAAACAAAGAGGGCATGGTGAGCGGCATGTTACTTTCACTCCGAAGACACATGTGGTGAAAACCTGTTAACAAATATTTCTTATTTAAACCATGGGTTCATTAATTAATAAAAACATTATCTACACAGCAGCATAGTCCCCTCAACACCAACTAAGCCATCTATTTTACAGGTGCAAGGTACCTCTTAGGAACAATTTAAATCATTGTGATGGAACTTTTTCAGATTTCGAGATTGGTTGTCTCAGTAATGTTGTGCCCAAAAAGCACCTGACTCTGATACCATCGAAAAAGCTGCAAAAAATACACATCCAAAACTGGATCACACATTTGATCGGACAGAAAGATTTATGAAACCTATTCACCTGCTTTTGAACATATTGGTATTCACTTTCCTAGTAGTCCTGACCTCATCTCCACACTGTACTGTACTCTTAAATTAAAGCTGAACTCCAGGTATGAATATTTATTATACTTACATTGGGACAGCTTCAACCAATTGTACACAGTTAGATTTATATGGATCAAAAAGGTCTGGATATAGGGTGCTAGCTGTTGACTGATTGCAGTCCAATATCCAAAAGACTGCATATAATTAATGGAGCTCAGTGGCTTTGGTTAAGCAGCTCTCATGCCAGAGGCTATAGTAGGGCACCGTGAGGAAATCTTGGATGAAGAAAGTACCCCACCACTGGTCTTTGAGTCCAAAAGTATATACTTTTAATTTCATAAACAGTATGGCACGGAATAAAACATCCAAAGCCTTTCAGGGGCTAAGACAGTCCCCCTTCATTAGGGTTTTGAAGCCTGTTTATACATGGAAAGCTAGACTTTAAGCTCATTTTAGATAAATCTGATGGTAAATCTGTTTTTTGTGGAAAGGTTAACCGCTTAGTGTAAGAGAGCTTTACATAAATGACACCAGCCATGCAGCCCCACAAGGGTGCCAGCACCCCTAGGATATGCATTGCTACAGCTAAAGTTTGCTAGTAGAGGAACTGTTTAAAGTTATTTTGTACCTTTGCAATATTTATTGTTGGTTAGATTAAACAGAAAGTGTACTGACTGCTGCTAGGAAATATTGCCCTGACAGGGGTTTATGAAGCATTTACAGATTCAGGCACTTATCTAGGACATATCAGGCTGTATCTAATTCAGCAAAGGGTCAGCAAATGTTCTGTGTGTATTTGTGACCTAAAGTCCTTGACAGACAATTGTTACAGTTTTGCAAATATGTGCAGCAGACTTTTCACTGTACTAGCTATATTGTTTAATAGAAAACATGCACACCAAAGGCCCCTTTCACAATGGCTGATCAGGAGAGGATCTGTGCAGGTTTCCTAAACACAGTAGTACGGAGCAGATGTCACCGCCTAAAAGTTTTTTCCTCCATCTCCATAGAGGAAACAACTGCATTTACCAGACCCACATGTGTCAGTTTACATCAGATTACCCCCAATCCGGCACGATATGGCCCATCAAAATAGAACACTGTTCCGTTTGTTTTTGCAGACCCGGCCGGAGTCGAGGGTAACCCTGTAGCTATTTAACATTTGAAAACATAGCCATTGGTATTTGGAATACCTGATCTGATCACATTGATTGGAATAATCCGATGACCAATGAACTTCCCTCCTTCTTCAAACACAGCAACTCTTAGAGAAGCCATCTCTGGCATAAGAATCTAGAAAACAGAAAGAACAGAAAGTTAGCTGAGGCATTTTCCCTATTTATAGAAGATGGTGTCACATTGAAGACAGAAGTTCATATTCTCTATGAAATGATGTCATATTACATTTGAAGTCTTCATATAGCCAGTACATTTCAGTCATATTTGAGGCTGCTTGTTGTAACATCTCATTAGGAAGTTGTCTGGAATATTTATTCAGAAGCAATGCTGTATAATGTGTATTTATGGATTTTAAGGGGGGGGGGGGGGGG